TAAAAAACCGTAAAATCTGCATGATGATCTTATTAATTTGCAATTGCTTATAAATTATTGGACATAATCTGTGACCGGTAAAGAATATGATCATAAAATATGATTTTTATATTGTATAACCAAGTATTAAATTTCTTTTCTCAATATAGTTGTTACGTATCAAAATTATTGAATTGCGCATTGCATTGCGATAATGCAGCATTATCGTTATATTATGTTATTGCCACATTTATCTATCTATTAATCGGCAATTAACGGGATAATTTAATGCAGCTACGGAATTGTAAATTCAACTATACTTCTCGATGGGTCAACAAGTCCTTTGTTTATATATTACTTTCTTAATGGAATAAAATGTCTTATCACTAAATATATCCCCGATATGCCACTTATATAATATATCTACTGTATGGCATAAATGCTTAATATGTCCAAAATACAATACCGAGATTGAATTGGATTCTGAAACTCACAATATGAAATTATCATTATCATAATGTGAAAATGTCCTTTTCCTTAAAGTCTTATATAGACATATATATATCCACTTCTGACGACAATGCAAATTCACTTCAACTTTATGATTTTTTTTGTACTTTATTTCTGCTGTTACTTCATATGATACGACAGAGTTCAACAAGTATTAGGCAATAGATATTAGGGGCTGACTAAATGTCTCAAATCCACATGGTATTGCCATTAAACCGTGTAAAGGATCATCAGGGTCCAGATGTTTAACAATTATGCAAGCTGGAGCATAATTCTCATTACAGAGATCTTTATAATTCTTATTACAGTAAAAAACCAAAAAAAATTAAACCTGGTTATCGACCTTTTCTAGGTCATTGAAATTTACATACATCAGGAAAATTCACATCATGAAGATTGTTTATTGCTAAGTGAGATTAAATATAATTATCAAATCATGATAAATGATTAAATTTATTATAACATAATCAAATATGCAAGTCTTTGTTGCGATTAGTTTTTTTTTTTTTTTTTCCTATTTATATTTACAACGAATAATGCGAATAAACTCGTTTTTATTTGCTCATTTTTATTTTTATTTGTACAATTTAGTTCATGATAGATTTCATTTATGAAACTATTTACAGGTATAGGTACTCACTACTAGTTACGTATAACAAGCTTGCAAAACTTTATGTTTCATATCAGTGTAGAAAGTATGTAGAGTTTGGAACCAGTTTTATTTTTCTTATGTTAAATCCGATTAAAACCGGTTTTAACATAAGAAAAATAAAACCGGTTCCAAACACTAATATGATGAGTTCAAAAACAAAAAAGCAATTTTGTATAATGAAAAATTTCCGATCCATTTAAAATTCGAGGTAAAAATTCAGATAATGCTAACATGTTATTTTGCTCAACTCCTAATGAAATTTCTGTATCACGTTTAGAAATGACGGCAAGGCGCTTACGTCAGAAATATACAATAACCAAGTTATTGAGTCAAGTTGTTAATAACAGATTTATTCACAGTGGACAGGCCACCGTTATCCTAGTGAATAATAAGTTATCATCAACAACATGACCCATAACAAGTAAATATAACCGTTTAACGAACAAAATTTGGAGTATCAAATTTTAAACTAGGACGATAATATCGAATTCGATTGTAAAAAGGCATATCGATATTACATATAACCACGATTTAGTTATATCTATATTTAAAATTAATACCTTAATAAAAAAAAATTCTCGATTCATAAAAAAAAAATTCAAATAATAATTAGATAAAGCAAGAGCTTTTTAAGGTCTTTAAATTTTACTTTTTATTTGCATGGTCCTTGTTAACTCATTAGAAATTCCTTAAGTTTAAAAAAAAAAAAAAAAAATTATTTAGAAATACCTATTCAAATGTAATTGCATAAATAAAGCAAGTTCAAATTAGAATAATTAAATTTACTAAAATAATTAGAATAATAGAGCTAGAGATTTAATCCTTACCAATAATACCACACGCGATACGGGGACCGGAATTTCCCGTCTTAAGAGAAAGTTCATGACCACCTTTACCAAAATCATCAGCACCAACATGGACGACGACCGAACGACTAATATATAAATATGTAAATCACATATTAAAGAATAAGATTACACAATATGTTTATAAATCTAATATAATATATTACCCAACAACAGAATTTGGTCCTGTCAAAGTAATTTGATTGTCTTTGATTTGAGTTTTTACTGTGCCATCTTCAGAGACCGTGAGATTACCCAAATCTCCAAGGTGACGATTTTCATCAGTCGGAGCACCGTGCGTTTTGTTAAACGGATTATAATGTTCACCGGCGGAAGTACAACCGTTAGTATTATCACCAAATTCACTATTTTTTATTTATATTAGAAATTATATAAAACAAATTTAATAAAATAAACCAAAATTTAATTCAATCAATTTTATATAAAGTTATACATACTGAACATGGAATCCATGTTGTCCTTGTTCTAAACCACTAATATTTACATCAATTGTAGTAGGCGCGTTTTCATTTTCTTGAGTGAAGGTAACAATACCACAAGTTTTAATTTCTGGCTTATCACCACGAAGTATTGCAACTGCTTTTAAAGTCATGATTGTAAAAATAAGGAATTTATTTGGAAATTCGTAAAGAACAAGTGTCTTTTTATTCTCGTAGTCTATTTATATTTATTTAACAAAAACGATAACATATGAATGATTGATTTTGTCATTCTTTCATCACGCAACTAATCTATCTATGTAAGTTATATCATCGTTATATAATAATACTTAATGATGAAATTATTACATAAATATAGGGAACCAGAACGCGTTTAAAGAATTGTAATTTTATGAACTAATTATTCAATAAAATAATTCGAAATCATGTGACAAACATAAGAAAGAAGATATAAAGTATACATATGTATCTAATGCTAAGTATTACTGTATTATAAGACCACATGACCAAATATAAATTGATATTACTAGTGATGGTATTTTTTTCTTGATTAGAAGAATACATTCCCCTGGTCATAGTTCCTTCCTAGTATTGTAACCAACATAAATATAATACATCCAGGATTGTTATTTCACGTAATACAGTATTTATTGATTATTCAAGTTCCAAAAAATTATATATGTTACATGGAGAAATTAATGTTCAATCAATCATTAAAAAAAAAAAAAAAAAATGTTCAACTTTTTTTAATAAATAATCACATGAGTTACTTTAGAATTTACTAACATCTCTACCAAAACACCATGTCAAGAGCCTATTTATTTAAATTAAATATATATTAGTGTTTAAATTGTATATAAATGAGGTGCGATAATTTAAAAAATTTTACTGACCAATACATTGGACTAATTTAATGCAAATAATTTCGATCAAAATTAGAATTCGTTTACAAAATAACGCTTTAACAAAATCTGTAATTTTTACACTTACATTAATATCTTATTTCTTAGTGACACTGTCATGGTAAAATATGACGATCGCCAAAATACCCATGCAAGAGTTCCTCGTTCTTTTGCTTTGACATTTGTTGATGTAAAATCAACAACAGCTTAAGGAAATAAAGTTAGTATGTATTAGTACAATCGTTGTAATAATTATTTTCCTAAAAAAAAAAAAAAAGCTGGTAATTATTTAAACTAGTACCTTTCTGCTCTCCAATATAAACCATACTTCCAAGATTTGTAAATTGGAATGGCATCACTCTTTCGAACGAACCACCATCTTGAGCAATTTGTGTTAAAGCTAATATTTTATTAAAATTATTAATCTAATTAATTAACTCTAGGAAAATTAAAATAATATCAATTCTATGAAAATTAACCTACCTTTTCGTAAATGCTTCGCTTTTTGATTTGCCACCTGAGCTGTGGCAGGGAGATCATAATCTTTTATTGTAGCGCAATCACCAATAGCATACCTTATTAACAAATATTTATAATATTATTATATATTTTAAAATAATTCAATATGATTATATATTTTAAAATAATTCAAAAAATATCTAAACATAAATACGAACACTTACACGTTATTTACGGGCAAGCCATTATCTTTACTTAGAACGCGAAAATAATGATCTGTCAATAACCTACCAAATATATATATATATATATATACATTTTTAAAAAATGATTAATCAATGCAATAAAGAGTAAACTTGACGACATACCTTTTCGCCGATTTATCTTTCATTATGTGTTCACCCATAGCTCGTGTCAATGGATTATCCGTTAAACCTACAAAATTACTGGATGAACATACTATTAAATTTATAAAATAATGTCATAAATTAAAATTTTACATACCTGTTGCCCATACCAACATTCCATATGGTACTTCTCCAATATCATTTACAATCAAGTGACGTTCTTTCACTTCTTTTACCAATGTACCTGTACGTATATTAATACCTTTACGCGTAAATTTCTTGATAGCGTAATCTCTAAGACTTTGATCAAATGATCCAAGAATTTGTGGTGCAATATCATATACAGTCATGCTGACCGAATTAATCAAATTTGGATATAAACGTGCCATATCTTGTGTAATGAAATCATGACTAAAAAAATATGATATACCCAATTTTTTGATATTGTCAATAATAAAAGTTATAAACCCAATATTAATTATTATTATTTGAATGTAATATCATGAAATAATGGACTTAAATACTCACAGTTCAGCACTAAATTCAACACCCTATATTACGTAATTAGAAAGTATTAAAAAGTATTATAAAAAGGTTAATAAATTCTACTAATCATACGAACAATAAATTTTACTAATCATATGAACAATATACATACAGTAGGACCTCCACCAACAACTGCAAAATGTAATAGACCAGTTGCCTCTTCCTTAGTTACATTTGGTTGACTTGCGTGCTCAAAGCATTCGATGACCCTTTGACGTATTTTACGGGCATCAGAGATGTCCTTTAAAAATAATGCATAATCGCCAACTCCCGGAATACCAAAAGTATTGGAGTTGGCGCCAACTGCAACAACCAATGTATCATATTGAATATTAAATTTGTCTTTCTTACGATCCAAGTTAGAAGTACAATTAATAAGTTTATTCTTAAGATCTTTTAATAGATTTATTTATTATTAAAAAATTAATTTGAATATTTATTCTTAATCATAAAAATATCTAATTGATAATAACTTACCTACTGAATCTGCATATGCTTGATAATACTGAATCTTTGGCGAATACCTTCTGACAGGTTCTGTAACACACCTAAATTCTAAAGTACCTACTGATGATGAAGCAAGTAAAGGAGTACTTATATATTTGCCATATAAAAAAGTATATAAAAATGAAAATTAGACATAAAGTTATGTAGCGTATAAAGTTCCATAAAGGATTAAACAACCTACAAAACGAAATAGTTCCTATAATAAGATAAATCGATTAGCATAATGTTTAAAATCATTTTTTCTTTACGCGTGACGTAAGCATCGATAATACCTGGGTGATACAACTACTACTTCGTAATTTTGTGTATCTATGTCTTTAAGTAATTTAAATCCTGTGATTGGAAACATTTGAATTTTTAACTGGAATTTAATATGTCTCTACATGAGTGTCTAAATCTTTTTTTTTTAAAAAAAAATATTTATTTCGTCATCCTGAATTTTTTTTATAAGTCACACAAAATAAATATACGTAAGGAATTCTCCACTAATAAAAACTGGTGTCAACAGATTAATTACTGAAATAATCATTTATTAAGATAAATAATTTAGACATTCACGTATAGATCTAGTAGATCGGTCACTCATATATTTATTGTTCATACCTGCCCACCCTGATCCTATATTGACAAATGATTGAGAAAGAAACTAAAAATTTAAGCAATTAAGTTTCCAAGCAATTTAATTGTTATCTCACCAAGAATAACCAATTTTCCTAAACAAAATTCGTAAAATAATCATAAAATTGTAATTTAGATTAAATGTACAAAGCATTAAAGATTCTACCTTGAGTTTTTCCTAAAGAAGTCATTCTTCTCTTGGTCACATTAAGCATGAACAACGATGTTGACATATCATAATTTGTTTTCTTGATAGTCGGTAAGGTTAGTAAATTCATTGATTGCTTTGTAAGTAAAGCTTCATGATACTTGGATGAAAATATCTTTGGTTGAAATAGCCTTGTTTTGTTCACTGATTTTTCAATATATCGCAAAAAGTACATAAATTAGTGACCAAGTTGAATGTTTATGAACGTATTATCTTAATCATTCTTGTATTCCAATGATCCATATTAACATTACTTTTTGATTTTTTTTAAAAGATAACTTTTATTCTTTCAACTTTAATTTATTACTACAATTGTATCTTACAACATTATCGTTATCGTTATATAGTTTTAAATCGTGTAACCATCAGATAGATCAGATTAAGATTGATACCAAAAGAGTTAAGAATGGCATACATAATAATGACAATAATATATCAATATGGGTAGATTTAACTTTTTGACATCTCTACTCAATATTATTGCTTTTTTTTCGAAATGGTCGACTCGCGAATTATGATATTTATGTAATTATTACACAATGGTATATTGATTATGACATATTAAGTATACTACAGCCAAAACTCGTGATTAGTTTTCACCCCTATGATTGTAGTCGATCTGTTAACCGAAAACAATAAAATCTTTTTTTTTTTTTTTTTTTTAGAAATTGGGCATGGTCGATTCAATTAAGTTATACTTATAGAAAAATCAACTTAAATGACAAGTGGGTACAGATAAAACACGGAATACATATGTATTTTCTATTTACTAAAGCGGCATAGTGGACTCAACCGAACAACTAGGTCAAGTAGATAAATTTAAGTCAATTACGAATGCTTACCATAAAGTTAGGATTTGGTACTTTATTACATTAATTATCTATCGCTATCATGTTAGCTACAATTTTTAAAAATTAGTCAATCAGGTGAATTTTTCCTGACTTTACCATTCCTAACGCTAATTGAATTGCATTTAACCCTAAATTTGGCGATCAAAAAACCGACCGAGTAATAATGATAATTCATCAATTAAATATATATTATCTATATAACAAAATCACTTCTAATTTTTAAATATAAATTTAACTAAAATGAAATATATTAGGTTTTTAAAAAATTATATTAATATTTAAAAAATATATATAAACTGGTTAATTATATAAAGTAATATAAACAATTATTTAATTTTGAAAGGTTTTATATAGAGTGTAGTAACTTGATGTAGTGAATAAACAGTTTCTTGATAATCAGTTAGATTAGTGTATCTGTAATCTTAGATTACATCATCTTAAATAAAAGCTTCTTTTTTTTTTTTAATGTTAATGGTGAGGTCATGCTTCTATCTTTATTAAATATTTAATTGAGATTTTATATAGAGTACAATTCTGCTTTTAAAATATTATAGAAAGAATAGAAATTCAGACTAATTTATCTGTAACCTAAACCAATCAGAGTGGCCAAGGCTCACCTATATTTGAGTGTTAGTAATTATGTATAAGGGATTAGTTTGATATTTAATTTATTAAATATACCAAAAGTTTATTTTTAAACTAATAAAGTTGAATGGAAAAGGATGTGATGGAAATGAGACAGAGTTTGATAATGAGTTATGTTTAGAAGTTTGAGTTGTAAATCTTGAAATGCAGTAAAAAATCCAGATTTTATAATAAATTTGTTAATTAAAATAAGACAAGAACTTTATAATGAGTGTTGTAACTACTTTTTTGGATAACAAACTTATAATAATATTGATAAGTTCATTTGGTATTAGACCTGTTAGAGTTGAGAAAATTGAAGGTGCATCTGATAAACTGTAAGTAGTCATACTACTTAGTAGCTTAATTTGGTTGTGTAAGTTAATTATAGTATTTAATATAGTATCAAGTGTATTGATATTGAAAGTATGTTTTAGTGAAATGTCTATAAGGTTGTGTAGTAATTGGTTAAATGGACAAATTGTCTAGTAAAGATAATAACTGGTTTGGTAACATAGGTGACAAATTGGTAAATATGATGATATTATTTGTATAAATATATAAAATAAGAAGATCATCTAATAAGATTTTAATTCTGAAGAACTTAAAAATAGAAGACTAAAAGCTGTGTAAGAAGTTTAAGATTTTTTGATTGTTATTAATGTATAATAAAATAGTTTGTCAATTAATTTAGTTGAGAATTTTGTATCATTTTTAAAAGTAGTTTTATATAACCTATAATACATAAATATATATATAGTATATTATACAAATACTGCAATAAGTAGATAGTTCTAAGAGAAAATTTTCAAAGTTTAAAATATATGAAGGATTGTAAATATTATAAAATATAAAGGTGAAGTATGATAAATTATAATAGTTGTATATAAGTTGATCTGCAAAATTATTGTATTGATTATCTTAGTAAGCAGTAATTTTGTAAAAAATAATATGAATATTGTATAATTTAATAAAATTAATAAGTGTATTTTATAATGAAAAGTATGATGTGATAAAGTTTAAGTTGAGTTTTAAAGACTAGTATTCAGATATTACTAACTAAGAATTAGTATATATATATATATTATATTTTTTAGAAACAATAATAAGAACTGATAAGATAACAATAAGCTTAGATTTAAATAAACAAGACTAGTATCTTATTCAGACTTAAAATGTATGCACTATATTGTTGTTTAAAATTTGATCCTATCTAATGTTCATAGACTATTGTAAGGTACTCAGATTAATAATTGAGTCATTTGTATAAAAATGAAGTTCTGATAATTGTGCATTATAGTTAGCAAATTGTTAAAGATTGTCTATTAAAGTACTAGGTTCAAATATGATTGAAATTAAGTATATTATAATGCTGATATTAGGGGAGTTAGAAATTTGAATAGGATGTCAAATTACAATAAAGTATATAAGATTAAGATGATTGACATTGAAGTTAAGAAGTTTGTTATATGTATTAACTTATCTGAAAAATCTGAAAAAAAGATTGATAGAAATATTGATTATATATTTATTAGTAATTATATAAGAATTCAAAAAGTAACCTAAGTATGCTTGTAATTGAATAAATGAAAGTGAATATAAATAAGTAAATAGTTATTCTATATAATATTACTAGTAAGTAATAAAAATAGTTTCTAAAAAAAAAGTGTTGTCTTTTGGCTTTGTCAGTAATAATTTGATTATCAGTACTGTAATAGGCCATAGATTTTTTATAAAAAAAGTGTTTAGTTGAATAACTATAATAGTTTGTATTAGATAAGTGTAAATATTAATAAAGAATAATTATATAAATAACTTGTAATTTGATCTTTTAAATAATTAAATTAAAATGGTTGTTTGCTTTTAAGAATTTTGTTTATACATATAGATATATGTTTTTAATCTAAAAGATATGAGTTGTCGAATACAGTTAGTTAATTTAAATAAAGAATATAATAATATCTAAGTTGTTTTTTAAATATTAAGTATTTTGAATATAATAAAAGTAGTGATTCAAGTGAAATGAATACTTTTTAAACAGTATATGAGATATTGTGTAATGGATTAAATGCAAAAGTAATATCAAGATATTTAAAAAATTAAATGATTTTAAAATTAATAGTATGTTTGTTCATTTTTTTTGGTTTCACTCTTTCTGATGAACACTTGAACACAAAATCGTTGAAAAAAGAAATCAACTTTCTGCACTAACAGCAATAGATAACACTCTTGACTACACTAAGGAAAAGTAACAGCAAC